GTTTACTACCGTCGGATTCAGGATGAGACGGTCATGAGCCTCGTCCTTCGGGACCCTGAACGCTCCACAAGCCTCGTCCCAGGCGAGGTTGTCGGAGGGAGTCAGATACAGGGCGCCACAAGAGTCCCACTTGCGCAGGAGCTCCCACAGCTGCTCGCGGTCCATGTGCACACGAGCACCCGAAAAGCCCGAAGGCCACTCGTCCTCTGGTAGCCGCATGACGTCGGGGTCATGAAAGGCGGAACGTACCAGATCGTCGGACAAGTACGGAGTGGGATCAAACGTAGGAGAGTAATCCCACTTGATGCGGGACGCCTGGACCCGAAGGTCGAAAGGCTCAGCCTGGGTGGAGTCCCAGCCTGCCGCGGCCGCCAACGAGCTTGCCAGGGGCGTCGCGCTGACGGGGAGTTGCCGCATGGGGGCGGGCACTTGTGAGGAAGAGGTGAACGAAGCCTCAAGAGCTGCAACATGGGTAGCCAGGCCATGGAGCGAGACTTCGGTGGAGTCGAACTTGGCGAAAGCCCGACCAAGGTCGCTCTTGCCACCACGGGCAAGGCGAACTGCGATCCGACACAGACGCTCGAGGCGACTGCGAACTCCCTCCTGGCAGGGTGTGACCGTTTCCCGCACCCGAGCTTCGGCGGGAGCGAAGCTGGGATGACCCAAGGTGAGCCAGTTGAGCGCAACGACAGCATGCTGCGACAACGTGCGGGCGGCGCGCCTCACACGCCAGCGCTCCCGCGCGCGACCCGTAAGGTGACCAGGTGGCGGCGGAAGAGGCGGCGAGGGAGGGCACGGCCAAGGATCGCGGGGAGCCGACCCCAACAAGTACGAGTCGCCCCATTCCAGCGCGCAGAAAGATGTGCGGGTAAAAGCGGCAAGGGAGCATCGAGTCCCCATCCCGACCTGGGCAAGAGCAGCGGCCCAGTGGGTGACGTCGATGCTGGCGCCTGGAAACAGGCGCAGCAAGGCGGACAGATCGGCCACGAAAGGCGCAGACCTGCCAGTGCCAGTGCTGGCACGGGATGTGCTGGGAAAAGGGCAAGGCGCGAAGGGCGCAGGGCGCGCCCCGACGCCCACGCTGGGACCAGGATGGCCAGGAGGAGCGGGGGAAGCGCCTGGGAGCGAGCGAGAATCACCATGGCGGCACGCACGGGGCCCAGCGGCGCCGAAACAGCCGCGCTGCACCTGCGCATCCCTACCATCGCGACCTCGCTCGGTCCAGAAGCGGCGGGCGGCGGCCGCGGGATGAGACCTCCCCGGCGGCGGCGGCCGAGCACATCCAGCACCCCGTTCGACCCGCCCGACGTGGGCGGCTCCAACTGATTGGGGGTAAGAGGCACCTTGGTCGGCGGGGCCGGCTCGGGGCTGCCCGGAGCCCTCTTGGTCCATGGCAGGGCCACCGACAGCTTGGAGCCGAGGAGGCTCGTCGGGGGCTCCGCCTTGGTAGCCGCTGGCCTGGGCGGCGCGTGCACCCCCCTCCGCGGTGACCCCGTCGGCGGCACGAGCCCCTTCCTGCGGGGCCGCACCAGCATCGCCGGCAGAGCACATGCCTACCGACGGGGCCACCGCAGCTTCGGCTGAAGCTGAAAACCGTGGCGGGGCTCCAGCCGCAGGAGGCACGGCAACGGGCGGTGCACTTCCGAAGCGCAACATTGCTGCCGCTTCCTCGCGCACGCTCCGATTGAAGCGCGAGCGGCGGCTCCCTTGGACAGGGGCCCCAGAAGCGGCCTCTGAAGCACCAGAAAGGGCGTCCGTAGACGAGGCAGCTGCACCAGCATGGGCTGGAGCGTGAGCGGCACGGCAGCTACCATCGACGGCCCGACGACCCCGCCGTCCTCCACGCCGAGTGCGGACCCGACGAACTCGTCGGAGCCTGAAGGCGGGGAGTGCGGCAGCGCTGTTGGTGGAGGCCGAGCGGCGTCGGGGCCGCGCTGGAGTGGCAGTGACTGCGGCGACGCCTTCATCCGAGGAGCCCGCGGCGAAAGCGGCCCCTCGGACAGAGCGGAACGCAGGGACCGCATCCCGGGGCGTCGCGGCCGCCGCGGACGAGCCCGCTCCTGACGTCCCACCGGCGGCACGAACCCCTCCCTGCGGGGCCGTAACAGCATCGCTGGAGGGGCGCATGCCTACCAGTGGTGACGGAGAAGGGCTCAGACCACGAGGGTCGGCCCGCAGGCGCTCGCGAGCGCGAGCAGGGATCGACGCGGCGAGGCCCTGGATCCGATCGCACGAGAGGCGTCGGGGCCGCGCTGGAGTGGCAGCGGCTGCGGCGGCGCATTCGCCCGAGGAGCCCGTGGCGAAAGCGGCCCCTCGGACAGAGCAGAACGCAGGGACCGCATCCCGGGGCGTCGCGGCCGCCGTGGACGAGCCCGCTCCTGACTTCCCACCGGCGGCACGAACCCCTCCCTGCGGGGCCGTAACAGCATCGCTGGAAGGGCGCATGCCTACCAGTGGTGACGGAGAAGAGCTCAGACCACGAGGGTCGGCCAGCAGGCGCTCGCGAGCGCGAGCAGGGATCGACGCGGCGAGGCCCTGGATCCGATCGCACGAGAGGCGTCGGGGCCGCGCTGGAATGGCTGCGGCTGCGGCGACGCCTTCACCCGAGGAGCCCGCGGCGGAGCCGACGAGGCCTGGAGTTGACTCCGCTGCTTGAGTGCCCGCTGCGTTACAAGTGCAAGCGCCCCGAGGCGTAGGGATCGCAGCTTCGGTCGAGGCTGTGCGGACGGGCGTTCCTGGCGCGTCCACCACGCTACCGATGGCAGCGGGCGCCCTCGCAGTGGTGGGACTGATCGCAAGCGAAACTGCGCGCACCGCAGAGGGTCCCCCGAACATCGCCGGGGGCCCGCCATTGGCGAGTCTGGGAGCAGCATCCGGGTCCGAAGTGCTCGAGGCGACCCCCCGCCCACCGACCCCCGGCGTGGCGGCGAGGGGGGGCGTCAAGGATGACTCGCGAGCAACCGCTGCGCGGGCCGCCCAGGATGTACTGGCGGTGGCGCCTGGCTCCAATGCAACCGCCACATCGTGGCGCGGCGGGCCGATCGGGGGCGTGGGTGGGCCCCCGCTTAGCCCGAGCGACTGCGAAATGTCAAGGAAGCTTGAACGGGCGGCACCGAGCGCAGGAGGTTGCGCCGGAGGCGGGGGCGGGGTCCGCAAGAACGGGATCACGGTTCGCCCCGAATCGGAGGCCCACAGGTGGGTCCCGGCACTAAGCATGGGGACTCCCACCTCGACAACAGTCGAGCAGGGATGACGCGACGGCGGCATCCGCACGCCCGCCTCCAAACCGGCGAGGTCCAGAGGCGGACCCGCACACCAGGCCTCGGGACCCGACAGCGCCTCCAGCCCAGAGGGTGGGCGGTGACACCGAGCCGTCGAGGTACCACCTGGCGTAGCGACCAGGTGGATATTGCTGCCAAGCGCCGGAGTCCCAACCAGCGCAGCGGTCGCGCAGACGTGCGTCGACGGCGGCGCCACGGCGCTGGACTCCAGGCTGGTGAGGCCCAGAGGAGGCTGAATGGGTGACAGTGGGTGCTCCAACCCTGGCGGGGGTTGGGGGCGCTGCGTCATGGCCGTCGACTCCAGCGCAGCGGATGGCAAGCCCGTCGCGGCGCCCCAACGATGGCACGGCGGTTTCGACTGGGTCTCAACGCCAGACCAATGACCCCAAAACGGAGCAGTGAGGGGCCGCAGGGGCGCTGAAGGTGGCACGCGATCGCTAGCCTCATCCTGGGACGTCGGCGGAATCAGAGTCCCCCCCAAGGGTCTGGCGCACGAGCCTTCAGGTGCGCTCGCCAGCAAGGCGACCGGCTCGAACGACGAAGGCAAGACCGCCGCATGGGCACCTGCGATCTGATGGGCCGCGTTAGACGGCCTCCGTGTGTCCGCTGCACACGCGGGGCCCCGGGTGAGCCGCGGCGCTGCGAGGTAGGGAGGGGAAGGGGCGAGGAGGTGAAGGTTAGCAGGATTCCCCTCATCCGTCTCCCCCACCCTTCTTGCGGTTACCTTCGCGCGCCGCGCCTCTACGTCTTCGATCCGACCGGCACGGAGCGGCGGGCACTGAGGGTTGCGCGGCGGCTGACGTCTGGCACGGGCCGGCGGGCACTGAGGGTTGCGCGGCGGCTGGCGTCCACTGGCGAGTGCGGGCTGAGGCGGTGCAACTCGCGAGGCACCCGAATCTAATGCGTCCTCCTCCTCGTCCTCCTCCCTGCCCGCACCCCCCGTAAACGGAGAAGAAAGGGGGAGGGGAAAGGAGAGGAGTGTTTGGAGGAGCTCAGCCGCTGGCGCCGTAGGGCACGACGCCATGACGACAGGCGCCTAAGGCTAGGCCGCCTGGTGGGCGCCCCCCCCAGCAGGGAAAGGGGCCCGCTAGGGAAACTGGCGGGAGCCAGTGCAAAGTACCGCGGGCGCACGCTGCCAGGGAGCAGCGGCGCCCGAGCGGAAAGGGTGAACCTTTTCCGCCGCCGACAGCCGCGGGAGGCGGTCGGCCGCACCCCGCGCGAGCTCGGTCCGGCGGGGCAAAGGTGCGAGCCCCGCCCAGTCCGAGCGCGCAGGAAGCGCCGGGACAACCGCCTTTGGCGGCGTCCCGCGTGTAGCCCAAGAGGAAGAACACCGCCACGTAGACGTCGAAGAGACCTGCGCGGCGGTGGCGGGCGCGGGCCCCTCGGCGCCTCGGCCGCGCGCGCGGCGGGGCGGGGAGGGGGGCGAGCGCCGCAAGCTTAGGGCCGAGAAGCTGCAGACGACTGCAATCAGCGGGCGCGATGGGGATAAGAAGGAGCATAACAGCGTGGAGTCCCGGTAAGGCCAATAGTATGCTCCCACCTGGTCAGTGACGGGTCCTCATCCTTCCTCCTTCCCATCCTCCTCATACTGTCTGCCTCCCGTAAGTGTTCCCCCAAAGGGTTTCCTCAAAGCCTGGGGGACACATAGTCCAATAGCTTGGCCAGACGTTGGCCAAACGTTTGGCCACACAGGCGCTTGGTGGCGGTGGTTCGCCGCAGGCGTCTCCGATAAATATCAAATCAGGGAACTGAGCAACACGACCAGACCTGGCCATGCTGGGCCATGCACTAGGCCTGAGGGTCTATGCACGAGCCCAGGGCCAAGGATGGGCCTGGCCAGAGCTCCGACACAACGAGCTCGGACAAAAGGGTGTGATTTACAAAAAAAGTGGAATGCTTGGGGAACAACTGGCAACACCCTGTCTCGCCCAACCGTCTGTCACTGTGGCGTAACGGGCACACCGATCTCGGGTGCTACACGTCCACGCTGGCTTGAAACTCAGGAGGGGAAGCAGGAGGAGGAGGATGACGAGGACAAGGCCAAGCCCATTTGGCCTCTGGCGGGCCTGGGCCGTGACCGATCATCCGTTCGGCCTCATCGTCTGATCGCGCCGATCGGCTCACGCCCAATCGTGATCGGCCGCCCGCGGGGCCGGGCTCGCGCGCCGCGGCGGGTCGGCGATTGCCGCCGCCGCAGCCGCGACCTTGTGCCTGGCTGCGCGCCTGCTGGCGCGCCAGGAGGGGCCAGACGCCCCAAGAGGCCGCCTGGCACAGGCGGGAAAGGGCCCGCCGCTCCTCGGCACGGGCTCTGCTGCGGGTGGTGGAGGCGGCCAACGTCCTCAACGCCCACCACCGCTCAGCTCAGCAGCGCCAGCGCCAGCAGCATCACCAGCAGCAGCCACAGTACCAGCAGCAGCAGCCACACGATCTCGTGATGGCGCAGACTTGGCCTGTGGGAACACAACCGTGGCCGTGGAGGTCGCAGACGCGTGGGAGGCCGAAGACCAACCACTTACTACCACGAGAGCAACAAGGGCCACCAGAAGACCAACAACGACCAGGACGACAACAACGACCACCAGAAGTACAACGGCCACAACCACCAGAACGACTACAACTACAAGAAGGACCACGACAGATGGAGGCGAAGCGCATCCAGGAATGCATCCAGACAAAAGAAAAGCCGAGGTCCCAAGAAATACACAAACGACGACAACTTCAAGAACTACATAGCGCACTTGACGAAGAGGCAGATTGCAATCGTCGAGCCCATCGCCCCAGCGCTGATCCAGGTGGCGAAGGAGCACGAGAGCTTCTCGCATCCCCCCATAGAGGACGACATCAAGAGGGCGTGGTTCACACCAAAGGTCAACAGGCTCGGGAGGCTAGCGGACCAGGTGATGGGAGCTCAGCAGGCTCAGGTTGACGCGACAAGGCTCTACAAAGAGATCGCCATCACCAAGGCCACCATCGCTATGCTGACCGAGCCTGTGCAGCGGATCAACGGCTACAGGCACGAGATCGATCAGAGGATCAAGCGCAAGAACGAGATCAGCCAGCAGATGAAGGACCTCGGGAAAGAGAGCGACCAGATTGACCAGAACATCGAAGCCCTCAAGGCCCTGATCATCGAGGCAAAACAAATGAAGACAACGACGGAGATAATGGACAACTCCAGCTGTGATGGCGACGAAGACGAGGAAATGGCCCCAACGGGCGCGAGAGGTCGAACTCCATATCCCAAGAAAGGGACCAACAAAGATGGATTGGACGACTGCCAAGGCGAACCGTACCATGACAAGGATGACATAAAGGAGCTCACCACCGACATCCGCAAAAGAATCGACGTGCAGGACCAGCAAAAAGGAAATGCGATGGAGCACGCGCAGAGCAGGAAGAACGCCGAGCAGCGGGATAAGATCAGGACAATGAATGAGAAGATGACATACATGAAACGCAAGCCCGAGCACCAAGAACAGGAGGCAGCGGAAATGGCACTCAGGACAACAAAGAACGCCCTCCCTCAAGCACCAGGAAGAGTCGTACCAAAAGGAGGCAGAAAGTTACAAAGTTCGAGTGCGAGCGGAACTACGCGAAGCAGAAGCAAACAAGAGCGTGGGCGATCAGCAAGAAGCTCTGCGACATCACGAGATGCAGCAAAGCAAATACTACGAAGCAAAGGCCCGTGGACAGATAGAAGGATTACATCAAGAACGGCACCAACTGCATCTCAGACTTTGCGACCTGCAACACCATCAAAGCGCTGAGCTCCAGGCTGAAAGGCAAAACATATATGAAGCGAAGGTGCAGCACGACGAGCAGAGGAAGGGGATGATGAACCGCCAAGAAAAACAAGTACAAACCAAAACAGAGGAACTCCAGGCCATGTACGTTCAGAGCCGAAACGAGATGGAGCAGCAGCACTACCAGACCATGAAGCACCTGAGGGCTGAAATACAACAACAGGAACAAGCACACGTCCAAGAACAAATATTCGAAGCTCGTGGCGAACATTCAAGCGCAGTTCACAGAGGCGCAGAATAATCAGTTCCAGACGTACGAGGGGTGGCAGCACCAAGAGGCACGGAACTACGAGATGCACAAGCACCAGCAGAAAATCGCCTATGAAGAAAACCAAGCCACAGCCCAGCTCAAAATGGACGAAGAACGAGCGTGGCATCTACGACGGCAACAACAACTGGAAGAAGCTATCGCGACTGCTGATAAGACCCACGAGGACATTGATCGCCAGGCGGTCATGGATTTATTGCGTGAGTTCAGCGAGGCTGAGGACGACCGACGACGAGAGCAATGCCTCGCAGGCGAGATCGAGAAGGAAGCTCAACGCGAGACGACGCAGTGCCTACAAGCTGTGTTACCAGGAACCCTCGACGAAATGCGCCCAGACCTCGAGCCCTACGCCGTGCAGCTGGCCATCATGGGGCAAGATGCGCACCCAGAGCACAGGGCGCAGTCGACCACCGACGGCGAGTTCAGCCTGACCGAGCTGGGATTCGCACCGGCACAACACGAATCCACACCGACCCCACTGCCACCAATGCCCAACCCAACGACGGCACAACCTCAGGCGCTACGCCCAGGCATGAACATAGCTGCCGACAACACCCCCACGACGACCGATCAGAAGACCCACGACAGCGACGAGACCGACGGCAGCATAGCACCGACACCAATCGCCGATGACGACTACGATGGAACATTACCCCCCGTTCCCGACACTCACGGAGACCCCGACCTTATCGACCTCCGCACCCTCGACCCAAACCGACATGTCGATCTGGCGCCCATTCCAACTGAGCAACCAACGCCAATTGGATACCGACCACCAGCTCAGTTAACGACCCCAGCATCAGCTAACCACATATTTCCAAACGCACGACCACTTTCAGCCCCACCTGAAGCCAGACAGCACGAGTTTGCATCAGGCGAGCCCCAACCCACTTCCGCCATACTCATCGACTTGAGCAACGACGGCGAAGATGCATCACCTCGAACACCGACACGAGTACCTACTTCTTCAGCAATCACCCCGGCACAGCCGCACCAACCAGTCCTTCCACCCCCACGATTCCACATAGGTACACCTGAGCGAAGCAAGTCGGCACCCACACCAAGGATGAGATCCGCACTAAAGAGAAGCGACCGAACAGTACTGCCAGCCAGGAAGGTCCGCATACATGACATTGGAGACGGATTCCCAGACCCAACCGACCGAATCCCCGTGCGAGCCAACGACGACGAGGGCTCGGATGGCGCCGCCAGCTGAAAAACTGAGTAGGACCGACCTCGATGAGGAGCTACTGGCTCAGCGGGATAGTCCAATACCAATGCGCCGAGCACCTGGTCGGCTCCAAACGACCATGCGACTGACCACGGCGGAGACGCCAACCAACGATAGCAGCTACTGTGAATACCGCGAAGCAACCAGCCTTCCGACCCCTGCGGTGGCGGCGACTTGCAACGCGGCACAGCAGCTTCTCCCAATAGGGGAGGTCACAACACTAGCACGCACCATGCCAGCGACAGCTTTGGGGACCGCTGACGCGCATGGTGACAACCACATTCGCCAGCACGTAGCAACAAAGAAAAGAGTCCACAACAACAAACGCCTTGCAACGCCGACCGACGCGGGGATTAGCGACGGCAATATTGCGCCCGTGCAGTGGGGAATCTACATCAACGGAGAGCGCATCAGGGCTACGCGCAAGGTTGGACTGGGGCGACATCCTCCAGCCGATATTTTGGACACCTCGCGTTGTGCAGGAGGCCCGAAAACACGCAGTGACCGACGAGTCCGCTTTCATGCCCCGGCGCCGCCCAGGGTCAGGCCAGGAGAGGCAAAGGCGAACGCGCCGCCAAGGCCAAACCGACCCCAGCCCGACTTGGCACCAGAGTCGAATCGCCATTTTGGCTTTGAGGATACAATTTTGCACGAGGACCGAATTCATTCTCACTCCGACAAGTGGAGCGACCGTTATCTCAGCAGCGTGTCACCTGACATGATCGATGGCATCGAGGGCACATGTCTGCACAGCGACAAGCAAAGAAAACGAATGACGATACCAGCGCCCACGACTCCACAGACAAACATAATGACCCGCCCGACGATAGCAGCAAGAACGAAGGTCTCGTTAGACGTCGAATTGCACGAGTGCAACGACGACTACGAGCAACTGACAAGACGCACGACGGAAACATAACAACCAACAACCGACTGGACGGTCAGGGACAGCAGGATGACGATATGGGCAGCTACCACATGCACGACAATAAGATGGGCAACTACGACACGAAGATCGAAGGTCGCATCGGCAAAGACGAAGACGAAGATAGACAGACGCAAAATAAGCACATAACACAACGACAAAGAAGGCGACATCTACCCACATGGACCAGAGCACCACCACAAATGCCACTGCACAACCGATTCCACTGTCTAAACGATGCGAAGACCGACACAGACGAAGGTGACGGCGGAGAACAACGCACCGACGAACCAACGACACGCGTGCACGACTCGGCTGCCCTGGTGAGTCAAGGTTCAAACTTCGAGACGGGCTCGAAGGGTGGTGTGTGTGTGCGTGTGCGTGTGCGTGTGTGTGTGTGTGTGTGTGTGTGTGTGTGTGTGTGTGTGTGTGTGTGTGTGTGTGTGTGTGTGTGTGTGTGTGTGTGTGTGTGTGTGTGTGTGTGTGTGTGTGTGTGTGTGTGTGGGGGGGGGGGGGGGGGGAGGTAGGGGCAGGGCGAGTCCTGCCCGCGCCTACCAAGGGGGTGGGATGGCGAGGGGCAGGGGGGGGGGGGGGGGCAGGACGGCCACAACCTGCGCCCCCGCGGCCCGCCCTAGCTCGCCACCCCCGCCATCCCCATGGCGGAGACGAAGCTTGCCCGAGCGCCCAAGGGGCGAAGCGAAGCGGATGGCAGCCGAGACATCCCTTACCGACAACAGAAGCAAGCACAAGGCCTGGGGTTCGCCCCCACCGAGGGCACGGTGGCCCCAAGCCATAGCGGGACGAGGTGGGGCAACCACGAACCCCACTTGAAGTCGGCGCATGGAGGCCTCATAAGTGCGCCCATAACCCACACCACAACACCAGCAACAAGCCGACTTCCCAACGACCCACTTACAAACACGCACCGCAAACAATCACAAGGTCTGGGGTTCGGCCCCACCGAGGGCACTGTGACCCCTAGCCATAGTGGGACGAGGTGGGACTGCCAAGAACCCCACTTGAAGTCGGCGCATGGAGACCTTACGGATGAGATAACCGCCCCTGCAACGAGCCGGCCGATCAAACGACTCCCCACCGCAGTGCTGCCATCCCGTCAACCACGAGCACGACCACAACCAGCAACGGCGCATATTCACTAAGACACCAGCCAGCAACGTTCCGAGCAGTACCACTACGACGAGCGATGCAATATTTCCGACTCCTGCGACAACCAAGGGCCACTGGAACAACGCCCGAAGACGACAGACAACATATGGCACCACAGACTGCACTGCCGACCAACACGAACAATCAACCACACATACTACACGACAACGACAATGAACTAAGGACGGCAGCTCAGACAGCATCCCTGGGCACCGTCACCACCGAACCCTTCCAGCTACCCAATAGATTACACACGCCAACGCAGCAACCACCGCGAGCAGCAGATCCGCAAGGGCATCAGCACCAAAAGCCCAAGCACGCGGCGATGTTACCATTCCGACACCGACTTATGGCGAACAACGAGCGAACAACGCACAAAATCGCGACGGATGCAGCTACCCACAATTCACATACGCCCGCCGAAGAAGCACGACGATCACCCAAAGCCATGCAACCGTTCCGAGCGAAGAAGACGACAAAGAAAACGCATACGACCAAGGGAACAACAGACTCACAGCAACAACAGATCGACATGGACATATACTGCGGCATGCAGCAGAATAACGACTACGCATGCGACCTCGGGGACACCAGGAGCTTGAGAAGGCGTATCAGGGCGACGACGGCACCATTTCTCAAGTACAATCTCGAAGGAGGCGGCCTACAGCCAGCAGCACGGGACGCGCTAAGCATGACACCAAAAAGGCAATGGATACCATCGCATCAAGCACATCTTCACCGACGCCTCCCACAACGTGCGGCGACCTGAGAGTTGCGCATGGGCTTTCTTAGTGCTGCAAGAAGGCGGGAGATTCGAGCAGCGGGCCTTCAGAGGCGCGTTCAGCAGCATCGTCTACGAGGCGGCCTTTCACCTCTGCAATGGGATAGCGACATCCTCGGCAGATGAGCACCTATCACGATTTCTGCAGGTTGTATACGACATGGTACGCACCGAGACCAACGTAACCTTGGTTCACGTACCGAGCCACGAAGGTCTGCCTTGGAACGAACTAGCGGATGGGCTTACCGAGAGGACACGACGGCGGTATGACAAGGGCGAAGACTACGACGTCATCCCGCACAACTTCAAGGATATCAACAGAATATCTAAGTGTTACCAATGGGGAGGATTGCTCCTGCGCGAACATCCAGACCGAGCAGCTTACCCAACGAGTGGAACAGCACCTCCGATTCGGAATACCGATAAGGTCGGCAGAAAAGCACCACCTGATGGCCCCGCTTGCAACAGCGACTACCGACACGACCGTGGAGCTGAACCTTGCGACCGACAACGTAGAGCGTACGCGAATCCGACATGAAGCAACAGAAGAAGCACACGAAAGCAGCGCGTCTCACCCATCAGTGGAGGGGGCCTGCACTACGACGACAATTTCAAAAATACAAGCTCCATATTGTCGGCACCCAGGAGGCGAGGAACGAGCGGAGGACCACTACTAGCAACGGCTACTACATCATCAGCAGCCCCCCACGACAGCTACAACGCGGGATGCGAGCTCTGGACAAACCTGGAAGAGCCGCTCGCAGATGGCAAGAGCGGCCTCCAGTATTTCGAGACGAGTCAGTTCCATGTACTGGTCAGCGAGCCCCGCGTCCTTATCGTTAAGATCGAGACCAGCCCAGTCAATGTAACCATCTGCGTCAGCCATGCTCCGCACAACCAGAAGAACGACGACGACAAGAACAAATACTTTGAGGCATTAAACAGGCACATAAGGAAATACAAGCCCGACCTTATATTGACCGACGCCAACGGCAGGGCGGGCGAAGTACAAACGCAATGGGTCGGCGGAGAAGGATCCCCACAGACAGAGGACGGGAACGGCAAGAAGCTGCACGAGATGGCTGTGGATGGAAGGTATACCATCATCAACGCCAAGATCTCCAATGGCAAGGACCACCACGCATGGCGCGACGGACGCGGCAACAAGCACCGGATATACTACATACTGACTAACGAGAAGTGGGCGCCAAAGATCACAGATGTCCATGCACTCAGCGACATCGAAACCATGAAGAAGCAGAAGAAGCACGACAGCAATAGAGATAACCACGCGCCAGTTACGGCAACAGCGCAGTGGACCGTTCGACATACGGCACCTAACCATTTTTCCCCGAAGATCGACAGGAACCTGCTGAAGTCCGAAGAGGCGGCACGAAGGTTCAAGGACGTGCTCAATTCTACGACTCCCCCAACCTGGAACATGAATTACGACGAGCACGTTTACTACTATAGGCTGACTATCATGGAGGCGGCACAGAGATCCTTCGCTCGAAAGGACCAGAGGAAGTTCCAACAATACATATCACAAGAAACATTGGCCTTCATCATGTGCCGCAGGAAATTCATGAAGTACATCAGGAAGGCTTCAGATGACGGACCGCAGCATCCAGCAATAAAACGACGAACACAAAACTTACTGGAGTATATGAATGGAGACCCTACCCTTCAGATGCCAATCGAAACCATCAAACACGCATCCCGCGAGACCTTCCAGCTGCACTACGTGGCCCAACAAGACATCAGCAATTTCGACCACCAATGCTCCCTCGACACCGTCAAGCAGTTGGTCCGTAACACCAGGAGGAGCATTGTGAAGATGATCGGCAGAGACTACGACCACTTCTTGGAGGAGCAGGCCCAGCTTGCGATGGAAGCAAAAAGCAGCGGGGACGCCTATACTGAATGGAAGTACACCAAGAAATTGCTGATCGCTGGTGGCAGGAAACGACAGAAGAAAAGGGCGTACCCACTAATGATAAAGTCGGACGGCAGCACAGCTACCAGCTCAGCAGGAAAAGCAGAAGAAGCGACAAAACACTTTGGACATAATGACGCAGCGAATATCTTGCAGGAAATCATCGACAGATACAACAACCACACCTCACGTGATACGAGTCACATCACCAGGGGCATCACAAACTTCGCCAATATCTACGAGCTGCAGGATATCCTCGCCAAGGCCAAGCCATACAGAGCGTCTGGACCAGATGGTATCACCGACGACCTGGCCAAAATTGCACCACGGGAATGTGCTCGACACATGCGCCCCGTAATCACCAAGGCCGCTCTATACTGCAGGGAAAATTTGGCGCACATGGGACCAATAATGACCTACTTCTGGAAAGGCAAGGGCGGAGAAGAGGCACTCTCGAACCAACGATCCATCATTTTTGCCAACACCGTCATCGAGCGCCACTACCGCTACATCAAGCAGTGCGTTAAAGACCTTCTCCCCGACATGCTGTTCTCTACTCGGATGGGCGGCAGACACCACTACAGCACGGACTTCAACCACATGGTGATGAGGATGCGCTTCGATACCGCCAAAGCGATCAAGAACGACCTTGTGATCATCATGATCGACCTCAAGGCAGCATTCCACAAGGTCATCAACCAGCTGTACAACATGCAGCCCGACGAAGATCAAATCAGTGACGTCATAAACAACATAGACATCCCCGACGCCATGATCCCGGCCACCACCCATCTGATGACCAACGACGGCATCGTCAACAAGCACGTCACGGACCAGCACATTGTCGAGATGCTTACGGAGGCCCACAAAGACTCATGGTTCTATATACACAAAGAAGCAAGCTGGGCTCCACCAAGATTGGAAACCCGACCTGGTGTACCACTAGCCGACTTCACATTCAACGCGCTTATGCCAGACGTCACAGCAGACTATCACCAGCGAGCTACCACCGACGGCGTCGCGGTAACGATTCCCGAAGCACCACAGCACTTCCAGCAGAGCGACTGCACAAAAACAATATCTTCAACATCATTTGTGGACGACGTCAAGGCAGCTGCAATGACCAGCAATGGCAACGAAATACACCGACTGGTGAGCACAACGTGGGGACATCTTATTCGTCCGACACTCAGCAGGGGACTACCGATCAACACGACCAAGTCGAGCTACATCGTTTACCCCAAAACTAAGAGCGGCAGGCGCACAGCCCGAACCATGACTCAAGAGAAGCTCAGCGTATAGGACATCGGGTTCACGGTCACCAATACAAGGAGCATTAAGTTACTCGGGGCAATGTTCAACGACAGGAACGACCTCGGACAAGAAATTGCAGCCGGAACCATTGCACTACGACGAACGACGGGACCGCTCCGCAGGACGCTATTCAAGAGGCGTGCAGTCACCACCAAGGCCAAGATCCACTACCTGGAGGCGTTTGGGTATTCTAAGTTATTTTTCAATGCTGGCACTTGGATCATCAATAAGCAGCGCGACACGAACAGACTGACGACGGCCTATGTATCTGCGGCACGACAGGCCATCGGGATTACCCATGACAAGATGCGCTCACAGCGGATCACCAACGACCAGATCCTCGAACGAGCTGCCTTACCAACACTGTAAGAACGACAGCGACGACTTCGTGTTGGACAGGTGCTACGTCTTGCTCACAACAGCCCACCAGAGCTACAAGCACTTGCAGATTACGTTATACAGAGGGGTGGCGAATGGTCCACGACCATCAACAACGACCTGCAACACCTCCGTTACCACTGCGACCACACACGATGCGATTAAATCCCCAAAGACATCACGGAGCTCATCACGATGGCGCGGTACGACACCAGTCACTTCAAAGCAATCCTTTCCCATGCATGCAGCAGGGCCACTGACCAGCACACACGGAGACGACGAGACGAACCACGTGGCAAAACATGATATCCAACATCGCGGCAACCATCGGACTCCGACCTGCACGGACGCATGACGACGAGGAGCTCGGTGCGACCAAGACAGCGCCAGTCATGTGCTATCATTGTGGCGCAATCTTCCAGACTACTGCGGCGCACGACAAGCACGTATACAACCACCACAGAGGCGACGACAACATAAGCAACACTGCAGTTGGAGACACATGCCAAATTTGCATGAAGAACTTCCACACCGCGAACAGGCTAATCAAGCACGTCAAGGCGTCGACTACATGTGCCGCTTCATGGATGGCTAGCAACACTACAGGGCAACGGCCGAAGAGGTCGATGCCAACACAACGGGGGTTCGACTTGTCAGCCGACACAACAGACACAACGGGCTCCCAGACGACTACGCCGAGGCACCGCCACTACAGACGTACGGACCGCCGAAAGGTCCTAAGATACCTACTAACGACACACGCACACCGGTCCCCACCAGCATCCCCGAAGAGACAACCACACCCAGCGAGCCACTTAGCGTCGAGCCGAGGCGACCACCCACCAACCAAGACAGAGAACCACCGAATACGATTCTTATCACCACTGCCAGCGACAACGCCACCAGCGAGCTAACCAACGCCATACAGCGGCACGTCAACCGACACAGCACGGCAAGACAGATACGTATTAGACGCACCGACATCGCCGAAGGCGACGACATGGGCTACTGCGCGCGAGCAAGCACCTCGGAAGGGAGAGTGGCGCTGCACATCGTCGACGCCAACATCGACTCCTTCAAAGCCGAAGGGCAAGCAAGTAACCAACAGCACCCATGGGGACGACCACAGATAAGTACACGACAGCAGCGAGAAGCCACCAAAACAATCACACTATGTACAGAACGCTCACCGCAGCATACGACACGATTGCCACAACCACCCCCACCATCTTGCTGGACTGCGACATACGCCACCTAAGCATCCAAGAGCCCACCCTGCTAAGACAACACCAGCGGACAACCACATCGGAGAAATACACGGCCATCATGTGCGAGCACTACCACAACGACGGTGACGACCTCGAGGACGTCATAGGAAAGGCCATCGAGCACACCATCGACGCCCAGGACGTCGCCGAGACCGACAGCTACGGCGGCCACCTGGGCGACAACAACGGGGGCTGCACCAACCACGGCGGCCCCCAGAGCTACAACAACGGCGGGCACCACCCCATGGAGTACAGGTTGGTGATCACCCCCTCGCGGTGAGCGTGCCGGCCCCCAGGAACGGACCTGGGGGTGCTGGCGGCCGCGAGGGGGAAGAGATCCCCTTCAACTTATGACACCTGGGCCCGTGGGCCGCCCCACCACCCCCCGTAGTAGGTTGTGGGCCCCCCCTCCGTTCCTTCCTCGGGCCTCATACAGGCTTTGGTTCTCTCCTGTTGGGGGGAGGGGGCCCACAATCCTACAATATAATTTGTCCCCCCCCCACCACCACCTCCGCGTCTTTCGAGCGAGGAGGAGTACGTACTCCACTATGGAGGTGGTGGTCGGGGGGAGGCGGGCCTAGTACAAAGCTAGGCGCGCCCTTGCTGCCCTCCACCTCGACCCCTCCCCCCCCCTCTCAGAGGCCCTAGGGGCACCTCATTCCCCTTCCCCTTCTTCGGTCGGGGGGGGGGGGGCCCGAGGACCCCTGAGGCCCCTGCCCCCTCGGAGGCTTTTCGAGGCGCTCGGAGATTTCTGAGGACTTCGGAGGCCTTCCGTCGCGACGGAGCGTCGGCCGCGGCCGCTGGCCCGCGGCGCGGCGCGGGGCTACGGCGACTGGACCGCCAAGCCCGCAGTGCTGCAGGACAAGGCCGAGGAGGACAGAGGCCGCCGTGCCGAGGACCGGACCCACCATCGGCCGCCACCACCGCCGCCGCAGAGCACGTCGATGGACAACGCCGTGCCACTCGGAGTGGCATACGGAGAGGGCACAGGCAGAGCGCTGCGCCCCGGCGCGGCCTGCCTGGCGCTGCAGTGCGCGCGGCCGGGCCGGCGGGCGGAGAGGCCCGGCGGGGGACCAGAGCCGCGAGGGAGACGAGGGCGAGGAGTACGGGGCAAAAGAGAACGGGCACGAGGGCGGAGGGGAAATGGGACAGGAGGAGCGCCTGGGCGTGGAGGCGGAGGAGGAGCTAGAGGGCGAGGAGGAGGAGGAGCACGAGGACGAGGAGGACGAGGAGGAGGATGACTAGGACAAGGAGGTAGATAGGAGGGAAAGAGTACGAAGAGGAGGAGGAGGAGGAGGAGGAGGAGGAGGAGGAGGAGGAGGAGGAGGAGGAGGAAGGCGACAAGAGCGCAGAGAACGAGGAGGACAAGGAAGATAAGGAGGAGGACGGCGAGCAGGGGGACGGCGAAGCAGAGTGGGCCTCTGCCCGCCCAAGTGGTCGGGGGCTGAAGCAGGAGGCAACCGTTGATTGAAACAGGAAGGCGCTCGGAGCGGACTGGGCTCTGCTGCAAGGCGACCCCGTGAGATCGAACACTGCGAAGCAGGCCCGGAAAATAGTCACTCCAACGGGGTGACCCCCAACGATACCCTACGGTCCGTAACTCTTACCTAGCGTGTCACGGCGACGGCCCCAGCGACACGCTGTGCCCTGCAAGTGCACAGCGCGTCGCTCCGCTCCGCGTGGCGGGAGGCTCGGAAAAGCTCATGTCGTTGAGGCTCGGGGGCAAGCACGTGCTTCGCGTTTCGCGCCGAAGGGTGGTTTGGCTAGAGCTGGCGCCGCAACACGCTGGGCAAAAGTTCCGACCGCGGAGGGCGGGGAGGGAGCGGGGAGGGAGACGGACGAGGAGAATCGGCACATGTTTTGCCTAACCGTCCGGGCCTCTCGGGTGGGTGGGGGTGCTCCTCGTCGCCACGGCTGGGTCCGCCTCGACATCATGATCAGAGCACGCTTGGGGGAAAGCTTCGGGGGTCGACTCTGAGGAACGGGGAGGACGAGGAACAGGAGGAGGAAGAGGAAGAGGAGGAGAAGGGAGGAGGAAGAGCTAGAGGAGTAGGAGGAGAAGCAGGACCAGTGGAAACCCAATAATCATCAACGATGTTGGAATTAACCCTCCCTCCAAGGTCCCTCTTCATAGGCCCACACAACGGTTCATTTCCATTGAGAGAACTGCCTCGTTGGAAGGCAACAGTTTGAAGATCCTGGAGCGTGCCGAACCATTGTTCTCGGGATTTCAACGCCACATATCAACCTGGTTGCTGCGTCTTGACGATCCATAACCGTGCCAGAGCGCAATTTTTGGGACTTCAGCACAGCGAGCCAACATAACTGTTGCGCCAACATAATCCAGAACCCCTCGAAAACACCATTTCTGTAACGTTACTCATATGAATCCGTGAAGCTCTTGCAAAGTTTAGAAGCGAATGTGCGCGGCGCTAAGGCGAGAACCACGTTTTGAAAACGACCCGCCCTCAATGCGCGAAACTCTTGTAAGGTTTGAAAACGAATGCGCGCGGCGCTAAGGCGAGAGCCACATGTTAAAAAGGAACCGCCCTCAATCCGTGAAGCTCTTGCAACTTATAAACAAACCGAATGTGCGCGGCGCTAGGGCGAGAGCCACATTTTGAAAACCACCCGCCCTCCATCTGTTTAACTGTTGCCACTTTTTAAGCTTCAGAATCATAAATGGTGAAGAAGTCTCAGGCGAAACGCCCGGCCCGCCCTAAAAACTGGCCTCGGGGTGCGACAGGGAGGAGTTATCTATAAGGAGAAGGAATGAAGGATGACCAGGAGGAGGAGGAGGAGGAGGAGGAGGAGGAGGGCGAGGAGGAGGAGGAGGAAGAGGGAGGAAGAGTTTGAGGAGGAGAAGGAGGAGGAGGAGGAGGAGGAGGAGGAGGGCGAGGGAGAGATGGACCCGCCAATAGACGCGCGCGCCAGTACACACGCTCAAAGCCTGTGTGCACGGCACGTGGAAAAACGCAAATCACCGTAACAGGCGGTCTGCGCGATCGCGCCTGCTATCACAAAGAGACCACTGGGGGCCAGTATCGCCAACCAGGCGCGCAGAGGACGCGCGCTGCTGGACGACAGCCGACGCGGCACATCCTCCTCGCCCTCCCTCTCAGCACGAGGAGGCTGGTAGGAGGGCGCCAGCTATCCACCTGCACCCATCCTTCGGCGGCGAGCGAGGGGGAGAAGCGACACGGAGAAGGCCTCCTCAGAGAGTGTTCTAAGCCTTCCCGGAAGACTCGAGCAATCTCTCAGCAGGCGCGAGGGAGGGCTCCCGAGAAGTCGCGCCGCCAGGGGACTTCCGAGCCTTCTGCGCCTGACGCTACGAGCCCTGACGAGCTCGACAGCTTGCCTAAGAAGAGCCTTCCCTGACGAGCTCGACAGCTTGCCTGAGAGAAGCCTTCTGCGAAGGCCCGCCCCTCCGTCCGCCTCCTCCTCGCTCCCCCCCCCCCGGCCTCGCCGCCGAATCCTGGCCAGGCACACCCTGGGCCCGAAATCGGACCACGCCCCACCGGCTCGGCCAGAATCGGGCGGGTGGCAAGGGGGGATGGCCCAAATGGGGGGTGAAGAGAATGGCCCTGAAGGGACCTCTTTGGGTCCCTTGTGAAGCCAGCCGGCGCCCGAAGGGAGGCCCCCCTCCCAATTGCGTCACCTCCTATTGCCACCCGCCCGACAGAAGGCATCTGACCATCCTGGGGCCCGGGGTCGGCCAGGCCAGGTTTCGGCGCGGGCGCCGGTTTTCTTGGGATCGGCGCCGGACGCCCCTCCCTGGCGCGCGGAGCGCGCCACGGGCGGCGCCGAAGGCGACGCCGGGAGGGCCCAGCGCCAATCCGAGAGGTCCGCGCAGGCCTCAGAGCGTCTGAGCATGGCGTGTTTTTGTTTCTGCGATCGGCTACACGTCAGAGTGACCCTGGGCAAGAGTGCCCTTTGGCGCGCGGTTTTTGGGGGCCGCTGCTAGCACATCGCATTCGGCGATCGGTGGGCCTTCCTGGCCTCGACCCGTGGAGCGGACCCGCCCGCACGCCCACCACACCCGACAGCGGTCTCTGCCGCCGACCCCAGGAGACGAGCGACGCAGGAACAGCTCGCCCGCCGCGCCCCTAAGTGAGGACCGCTGGCTCCCCCACCCCTCTCGGGTGCTGCCTCTGGAGGGAGGGACAGTATATGGGAGGGGGCCGGGGCAGGAAAACAGGGATCGACCAAAACAGGGTTTTCCGATCTCGTTTTGTTCACAACCGTCCTGTGGTGATGGGCCCTCGTTTTGAAGAGACAGCGCCCCGCGTCCGACCTTACCTTCCTCCTCCCGCTCCGCATTCCTCCCCCTCCTTCCTTCTACATTCCGCATCAGCCTACCATTTCGGCACGCCCCTCACACGTTTCGTGGGTGGCCCCGACGGCCCCAGTGGCAGGGTCCACATGCGTCTCCGCCACCCAACAAACGTTTCGTGGCCCATAGGGAGCGCCACCGAAGGCCCCAGTGGCAGGGTCCACATGCGTCTCCGCCACCCAACAAAACGTTTCGTGGCCCGTAGGGAGCGCCACCGAAGGCCCCAGTGGCAGGGTCCACATGCGTCTCCGCCAACCAGTACAGCATTTCGTGGCCGGTAGGGACCTCCACCAGAGGCCCCGTAGCAATGTCCACATGCGCTTCCCCCACCCAGTACAGCGTTTCGTGGCCCAGGGGGAGCTCCACCGAAAGCCCTAGTGGCAGGGTCCGCATGCATCTCTGCAACCCAGTAAAGTTTCGTGGTTCATGGAGAAAGCCACCGAAGGTCCCGGCGACAGGATCCAGATGCGTCTCCGCCACCCAACAAACGTTTCGTGACCCAGGGGAAGCTCCACTGAAGGCCCCAGTGGCAGGGTCCACATGCGTCTCCGCCACCCAGTACAATGTTTCGTGGCCCGTAGGGAGCTCCACCGGAGGGCCCAGTGGCAGGGTCCACATGCGTCTCCGCCACCCAGTACAGCGTTTCGTGGCCCGTAGGGAGCTCCACCGGAGGGCCCAGTGGCAGGATCCACGTGCGCCCCCGCCACCCAGTACACCGTTGCGTGGCCCATAGGAAGCTCCACCGAAGGCCCCAGTGACATGGTCCACATGCGTCTCCCTGCGCAATTCCGGCACACCCCTCACACGCTTCGTGCCCCCAAAAGGAGCTGCACTGGAGGCCCGAGTGGCAGGGTCCACATGCGTCGCCCTGCCCCATCTCGGCACCCCACCACCATTACGGTACGCTCCTCGCGCGCTTCATGGCCCCATAGGGAGCTCCACCGAAAACAGTAACCACAACGCAGCAGTCACAACTGCATATGACTGAGAGTCCTTCGAAAGGATGGTGTTCGTGTTCCCTCGTTCTGTCTTCCTTCCGCCTTCGCTGCAAAACGAAATCAAAACGAGAACGGTCCAGGAAATCGCCAGAACACCGTGTAGGGCTCCAGGGCACCTTTGAAGCCCAAGGGGGCCCGCTCGGGGTCACTCCTATTTTGCGCCCCCCCATCACAGTCGGGCTATTGTTGTAAGGAACGCTAAACAAGGAACGAAGCTCCTTTTCAGCACCAACAGCGCCTGGGTGCACGAGGAGGGCTCGAGAAACAACCACGGAATGACCCAAGGAACAGAACAGCGAGCCCCTTCCGAACCCAAAGCGGGTCTTATCTCAGAGCCTTGACTGTAGTCGACGCCCAGCTCCCCCTCTCCCCAAGACCTCCGTCGGATCGCTACGTTCGTTCCTGACGCTCCCCACGGAAGCCTCGGCCTGCGGGCGCCGCTCTTCGGAGAGGCCCCGAGGCCAGGAGGACACCGCCGTGGCATGAGAAACTCACCCTCGGAGGACGGGGTCGAGAGGACCCGGGGGACCGCCGCAGAGGAACCAACGGTTGCACGAGCATAAGCTTTGGGAGGTCCGCGCGGATGTACTCGACCTGCGCTGAATCCCCCTCCCTTTGCGCGCGGATCGCGCGCCAGACAGGGGCGGCGCCAGAGGCGCCGCCAGGGGGTTCCAGCGCAGATCGAAGGAATCCACGCGGAGCTCCGAACAAATAAATGTTTATACAGCTTCTTCCTCCTCGAAGAAGGAGTCGAGAGGCTCGGGGACCACGGAGTGGCTGATCTGATACCATCCGCCAGGAGCTCTCGCCCCCTCCCTCCCGCCTTCCGCCCCCACGGCGAGACGCACAGAATATGCGCCAGCTCGCGCACGCTGCCGTGACGTGGCGGCGCCTACCGGCTGGCGATCTTGCCGACCGCCATGTGGATCATGGTTGTGGCCGACGGCCGGCTTTTGGGCGCTTTTGCGTGGACTCGGGTGCTGTACTTGGCGATGTCGTCGACAACCATGAACTTGGCCAGCTGTTTTTGAACGTCTGTCTCGTCGCCCTGGGTAACGTCAGACAGGTCGTCGAGGTCGGTTGAGTTCAGCCACTTCAGGAAGTTTTTGCTGTAGTTCGTGACCAGGACCCAGGCTGTTGGGTTGCGCTGCGCTTCCTTACAGAAGTGATGCGGACTCACCAACATCAAGTTGCTCTGGTCGGTCGCGGTGCAATCGCCCAAATGGTACCACTCCGTCGTCCACAGCACCGGCTCCGCAATCCAGTCTTCGCCCTTATCTACCATCTCACGAATCACGTCGCCCTCAGAGGTCACGCGTTTGTACTGGAATTGGCCTTCGATGACTACGTACATGTGGCTCGGCTTTTCACCGTGTATGAAGATGGGGTCAAGTCGTGCGACCTGTTTGGTGGATACGGCTGTCTTTGCCAACCTGAAAGCAGTCACCTTCGACACTTTCAACAACCTGTCGACAAGCGGATGGATCGTCAAGTGATTCGAATGCAATTGGAACAGCAATTCATTTTCGAGCTGCTCTGACAGCATCGCCAAAATCTTGATTTGCTGGTAGGTCTTATTAGCAGCCCGATAGCGCCATACATGTTGGAGGTAGCGCTGGACGCGAATCGAAAGCAAGTGCTCTACGTGGTTGCGCTTCAAATAAACGCGCAAGTCCCAGAACAGCTTCGACTCCTCCTCCTTGAGACTCCGGAGTTGCGCAAGGCTGGCCGTGATTGCGCCGACTACGTATGAGAAGCCCACCAAAGCGCAGACCACTACCGAGATCGTGAAAACACGTTCGGGGAAATTCTGCGGTTGAATGTCCATTGGAGCCGGCGTGAATTGCGTCAACGACCAATGTAAGCAAGTCGCGTACAAATAGTTCCACGCCAACCCGTCCATTCCGTAGTGAACGAGCCAACGCTTGTCGCCATCCATCAGGTAGCTGATCGCGTACCAGAGGCAGCTGATAAAGTGGCTGAGCACAAGCAAGAGCAAGAGCATTGTAAGTATATTGGCTGCGACCATAAGTTCTAATGAATGGATCCTCTCTTTCACCAACTGCCACGCCTTCTGCAACCGAGCAATCCGGGTGAGCCGCATGAGGCGCATAAGGCGCAAGTTCCTGAGCAGCTTGACAGCCCCCGAGCCCTCCACGGCGCTGTCGCATGAGGTGGTCCGAGTCTCCTTGCTTCCCAAGCTGAGCACAACAATGACCCAGTCTGGCACTAACACCACCGCGTCGATGATGAACCAGCTCTTCAAGTACTTCACGAGAACAGACGAGGCCTTTGTCACAGTCTTAAGCCCATCTTCGTAGCCCACGGTGAGAGTTTGCGGAACATGCAAGGTCCAGTATACCAGCGTGATCCACTCCATCGCAAAATGCAGGCCATTCATTGGGTAACAGAAGATCGTCAGAGGAATCATTAACAAGTCCCAGCAAATGAGGATGGCACCCAGGACCTCCCATGCCGTCCGCATCGGGCTGCGGGGAGAAGCGATGTAGAATGGGTGGGACATCTTCGTCAAAGTCGAAAGCTGTTTCGTCATCTGCCTAGAACAGCGCCCAACTGTACACAAGCACCGATCCTGGCTGGGCCCAGCCTGGGGTCAGGCTCGGTGTGGACGACTTTCTGGACAATGCCAGGATCGGTTCTGGTGTATAGGTGGCTTCCCCTGATCTGCCGTGTCGGCATGCGCGTCAGCCGGTCAAGGGTCATCGGCTTGCTCTTGTAGATGATGTCCGCCAGGTTCACCGTGTACTCCGGCCGCGCAGGGAAGCACTCCTCATCGTTCTCGGCCATCTCGTCCTCGTTGGCGCTTTCCCTGTGAACGTCGGCGTCGTCTGAACTCCGATGCACCACCTCGTCGGTGTCCGGGACGCTGGGCATGCTCGGCAAACCCTCGTGGGGAAACCACTAGGTACCGATACCGCTACTCCCCGGACCTCTCATGGGGTGCGTTCTGACCAAGATTTTGAGGCGAATCCAGCGGTGGCATCCCAGGAGGTCGAAAACGGGGAAAGCGTGCGAAGGGTAGCAGTACCGGTAACTTTCCCTCCTCTGACCTCGAGGCTGGCCAGCTCGGGCGTACTTCCCCGGGAGGTGCCTACGACGAGAGACGTCCGGGTCGTCCCCTTCGTGTCGGTGACGGTGATCGTCGCCCTCCTGCTCCGCGGGGAGGACTGCGTCGCCCCCCTGGCCGGAGGCCTCCCAACTGGTGGGGTCCGAGCGGATGGGCTCGGAGGACCGCGCAGCACCGCTGGCACACTACCGATATGCATCGGCGATGCCTCCCCAGACAGCCGGCTGCTCCGATTTTTTCGGCGCGTGGGCCCCGGAGGTCTGGACCCTTTCTCCCCGGGATCGGTTCCTCGTCCCGAGTCGCTTCTTGACTCTCCCGAGGCTCGGCGAGGGCACCGAGAGGCCGAGCATGGCCAAGCCCCTGGCGGCTCCCCTTAGGGGTGCTGAAATGAGCGCCTCGCTCGAGACATCCTCCAAATCTGCTCCGAAAGCGAAGGATGTTGGGCACAGAAACAGGCAAACCGCCTGAGACATCCCCACAAAATGGCCGCGAACGAGCCCGTGCAACCACCCCTGGCGGCTCCCCTTAGGGGTGCTGAAATGAGCGCCTCGCTCGAGACATCCTCCAAATCTGCTCCGAAAGCGAAGGATGTTGGGCACAGAAACAGGCAAACCGCCTGAGACATCCCCACAAAATGGCCGCGAACGAGCCCGTGCAACCACCCCTGGCGGCTCCCCTTAGGGGTGCTGAAATGAGCGCCTCGCTCGAGACATCCTCCAAATCTGCTCCGAAAGCGAAGGATGTTGGGCACAGAAACAGGCAAACCGCCTGAGACATCCCCGCTCCAATCTTTGGGGAGCGTCGGATCTCTGGGTCGGCGGATCGGCCTCCACATCGCACCCCGCAGCGGCGACGCATCGGCGATGCGGCGCGATATTCCGACGCCGCCGGCTCCGACCCCCGTTGGGATGCCTGGGCCTGCCCCCCGGAGTGACCAGCGTCGCCCTTCGTTCCCTCGGAGTGGTGCCGAGCCCTCTGCCGCGGGCCGCCCCCTGCGAGGAAGGAGGAGGAAGGAGAGCGGAGAGAGGGAGGGAGGGGAGAGCGGAGGGAGGGAGGGAGGGAGGGAGGGAGGGAGGGAGGGAGGGAGTACGAGGTTACGAGCCATCCCACGTAGTGGTCCTGCTGACGCAAGATGCCGGCCTCTGAACTCCTCCAGAGCACCGCAGCAGAAGGACGAGCGTGGAGACGAGCGAGGGAGAAGGAGGAGGAAGGAAGAGAAGGAGCCCAGCGCAAGAGAGGGTGGAAGAGGAGGATGAGGAGGAGAAGGAGGACCAGTGTAAACCCAAGAGGCATGAACGAAGTTGGAATCCACCCTCCCTCCAAGCTCACTCTTCGTAGGCCCCTACAACGGTTCATTTCCATTGAGGAACTGCCTCGCTGGAAGACAACAGTTTGAAGGCCTTGGAGCATGCCAAAGCCCAAAGCATTGTTCTCGGGATTTCCACGCCACGGATCAACGTGACGGCCGCGTCCTGACGATCTGGAATCGTGCCAGAATGCCATTTTGGGGGGCTTCACCACCGCGAATCAACATAACGGTTGCAACCGCATAATCCTGAATCCTTCCAACACGCTATCTGTTACGCTGATCATGGGAATCCGTGAAACTCCTGCAAACTGTTACAACGAATGTGCGCGGCGCTAAAGCGAGATCCACCTTTTGAAAAGGAACCGCCTTCAATCCGTGACACTCATGCAAATATTAAAGACGTCTATACGCGGCGCTAAATCGAGAATCACATTTTGAAAACGGCCCGCCCTCAATCCGTGAGACATTTGCGCAATTTGATACAACGAATGTGCGCGGCGCTGAGGCGAGATCCACATTTTGAAAACGGCCCGCCCTCCATCTGTGAAGCTGTTATCATTATTTCAATTTCAGAGTCATAAGCGGTGAGGAAGTCTCGGGCGAAACGCCCGGCCCGCCCTAACAACTTGCCTCGGGGTGCGACAGGGAAAATTCACGTTTTAGGAAAAGGAATGGAGCCAATAACTGCGGACGCCCGACCACTGCAGGAGGGTCACGAAAGGACGCCGCGAGCCTGGCCGCTCACGAGGGCGTCGCCACCCCTGCGATCGGCATCGGGTGTGCCTCCTGCAGCCACAGCGTGCCGAGGGAGAGTTCGCAGTGCGCGTGAGCGGGGGATGCCAGCCACCGCGCCGGCCTGGGGCCGAAGCTGCGACCTCAGCAGATGCCGAGCCCTGCCAGAGCGGCCCGCCGAGGGGGCAGTGCCTGGGAACTCTGGCGTGAAGCAGGCGGGTCCTGAAGAAACCGGACGCTGGACCCCCAGGCCTTCGCGGTGCTGATCATCTTTGGTGTGTCAGTGTTCGCCTGCTGCCGGCGCCGCCAGGGAAGGCGCGGTCGGTGTGCGGGTGGAGGCGCTGGCCGAGAGCTCTGCGGGGGGTCTGATGGCGGGGTTGCTGCGGCGAGCGCGTCGGGAGGGGAGAACGTGGGCCGGAGCGGTGGGCGCCAGCCGCGAAGGGGAGGGCGCGGGCAGCGACGGGAAGGTCCACGGGGGGAAGTGCGCAGCCCATCGGGCAGTTGCGGGAAAGGGCCGCGGGAAGGGAGAGGAGGAGGAGGAGGAGGAGGAGGAGGAGGAGGAGGAGGAGGAGGAGGAGGAGGAGGAGGAGGAGGAGGAGGAGGAGGAGGAGGAGGGGCTCCCCTCCCCCACACCCCAGCGCCGCTCTGGGTGGTAGCCAGCGAGTGCGGAGGCCGCAGAGGCGGCACCAGTGAGGGCCGAGGGCGCCGCGGCTGCAGCAGGCACCAGCGAAGAAGGGCAAGGGGAGGTGGCCGACGGTGGCCCACGATGTGTCCGCAGGCCAGCGCTCGGGAGCCGCGGGGGCAGCTGGCTGCACCTGGGAAGGCGGCATGGCGGGGCGGCGTGGCATGATGGAAACGGGTCTTGTGGGAAACAGGTCCTGAGGGAAATGGGTCCTGGACCCCGAGGCTTTCCACTGGGACCAGCTCTTCGTCCCGAGTCGTTGTTTGGACTGCACGCCCGCCCGCCTGCGGCGCCGGGAGGAGCTCGCCGGCACCGGAGGCGCGCTGGGGCAACTGGTCGTGGCCGACCTCGGCCACCTCGCCGGGAAGGGGACGGGTCCCGAGGGGAACGGGCCCTGAGGCTTCTCGCCGTGCTTGCCTCCTGGGCCCTCCGCGGGCCCCAGGGCTGCCACACGAGCACCGCAAGCAGCTGCGAGGGAGGGCGCGCCAACAAAGGCGGCTGCGCTTCCTCGGCCCGGGCATGGGCGCGGGTGCCGCAGGCACGGGCACGGGTGCCTTGTGCGAGCGAATGCCGCCTCCTCATCCCTGGGAGGAGGCCGGGTAAGGAAAGGGAGGGGGCGGGGCGCGCCTCGAAGCCGAAGCTGGGGGCGCCCTGCCACGGCGCTCGACGCCGTGGGTGGGAGGTGGGGGGGCGGCGTCGCCAGTGGAGCCCGTCTTTTCATCATGCGCGAGCACGCCCGTGCTGGCCCCCGCCCCCCCCCACTAGTCACGTCGCGATTCGCGCCGGCGCCGTCTGGGACTGGGCTGTCCTAATTTTTTTTCTGGGCGGCGCCAAAGAGAATCGCGACGTGACTGGCCCCCTCCCCGCCCGCTCCCCCCGGTCACACCCGTTGTCGCCAGGGGATGAAAAAAACATGATCGACCCACGAACCCGAAAAGGAATATAGAAATGTAAGACGTGGCAATGTTTCAAAGACACCTGATTGGGCGACGGGCAAATACAATGCTAGGTGTATCGATCTTGATGTACAGTGCCGATGGCTGTGCTGTGCTGCGCTGTGCTGAATAGCGATGTCCCATGCCACGACTGTGCTCTATAGCGTTGTGGATCGAGTCCTCCTTTGCATCCGAGTCCTGACCGAACTGATCTGGATCTTAAGCTCGAGCTGCCTGAGCACATCACTAGTAGTTGCCCCAGAGCTGATTGACAGGGGATCGATCTTGATGTACCGTGCCGAGGGCTGTGCTGTGCTGCGCCGTGCTGAACTGCGATGTGCCATGCCGCGATTGTGCTCGATAGCGTTGTGGATCGAGTTCTCCGTTGCATCCGAGTCCTGACCGAACTGATCTGGATCTTAAACTCGAGCTGCCTGAGCACATAGTCCACATAGTAGCTGCCCCAGAGCTAGTTGACAAGGAAACCTGCCAGGAAGACGCGCCGCGGAACGTTCCAAGGGACGCGCCAGGCGACGTGCCAGGGGACGTGCCACGGGGACGCACCGCGGGACGTGCCAAGGGGACGCGCTACAAAACGTGCTGGGGACAAGCGTCGTGTTGGTGTCCTGGACACGTAAAAACACGGTGCCAGCTCGGGACAACCATGTTAGATACTCCCTGGGTGGCCTGGACATTTAAAAACACGTGGCTCCAGCTCGGGACAACCATGTTAGAGATCTCCCTGGGTGGCCTGAGCATGAAAAAACACGTGGTTCCAGCTCGGGACAGCCATGTCAGATACCCCCCTGCGTGACCTGGATACGCTGAATTCGCGCTCCCTCTCGAGACATCCTCGCAACGTCTTCCCTGGAGAGGCCCCCAAAGCGCAACCCCCTGTTCAGAGCAAGAAACCATAACTTTTCTGGATTGGGACATGTGTTCGGGTAGCGCTTTTCAGCCCCCTGTGCGTTTCCTCATAATTCGGCGTTGGGCCCGACGCCATGTTAGATACCCCAACTCTGCAAAACCAGCGTTTCGCTCGAGACATCCTCAACTAAGTCTGAACAACAAGCGCTTCGCTCGAGACCATGTTAGATACCCCCCTGGGTGGCCTGTACACGTGAAAACACATAGTTCCAGCACAAAACCACCATGTTGCGTACCCCCTGGGTGGCGTGAACATGTGAAATCACACGGTTCCAGCGCAGGACCTCCATGTTAGATACCCACCTGGGTGGCCTGTACACGTGAAAACACGTGGTTCCAGCTCGGGACCACCATGTTAGGTACCCCCTGGGCCAGCTCAGGACCACCATGTTAGATATCCTCCTGGGTGGCCCGGACACGCGAAAACACGTGATTCCAGCTCGGGACCACCATGTTAGATACCATGGGTGGCCTGAACACGTGAAAACACGTGGTTCCAGCTCGGGACCACCATGTTAGATACCCACCTGGGTGGCCTGGACACGTGAAAACACACGGTTCCAGCGCAGGACCACCATGTTAGATACCCCCCTGGGTGGCCTGAACACGTGAAAACACGTGGTTCCAGCTCGGGACCACCATGTTAGATACCCACCTGGGTGGCCTGAACACGTGAAATCACACGGTTCCAGCGCAGGACCACCAGGTTAGATACCCCCCTGGGTGGCCTGGACACGTGAAAACACGTGGTTCCAGCTCGGGACCACCATGTTAGATACCCCCCTGGGTGGCCTGAACACGTGAAAACACGTGGTTCCAGCTCGGGACCACCATGTTAGATACCCCCCTGGGTGGCCTGGACACGTGAAAACACATGGTTCCAGCTCGGGACCACCATGTTAGATACCCCCCTGGGTGGCCTGAACACGTGAAAACACGTGGTTACAGCTCGGGACCACCATGTTAGATACCCCCTGGGTGGCCTGAACACGTGAAAACACACGGTTCCAGCTCGGGACCACCATGTCAGATACCCCCCCCTGGGTGGCCTGAACACGTGAAAACACGTGGTTCCAGCTCGGGACCACGTGCAAATTTACACTTTACCACGTAATCTATCGCAGAATAATTCCGCCGGCCCTACTCCCGCACGTAATTTATCGCAGAATAATTTCGCCGGCCCTACAGCCGTCGAAACCGGGGGCAACCAACTAAAAGAGAACCCTGGGCTCGAGCCCTTTCCGGGAACAGAAAACCGCCGACAGCGGACGGGGCAGAGTGAGCTGCGTCGACGTGCCGTGGGGCGTGGCAGGCACAGGGCGGCGTGAGGCAGCAGCAGCGGCGGCCGTGGGGCATGCTTGCTACTTGGAAGCGGCTGGGGGTCTGAACTGGTTGGGACCCAAGACA